CCCCAAAACCCCAAAACCCCAAAACCCCAAAACCCCAGGAGAATCTAAGGATATTGGAGACACTTTATTTATACACAAAGTATGAGGCTATTATTTAACCAAATCTATCTGCCCAATCAGTGAGATATTTTGGGGGAGTTAAGTTGATATAAACACTCAAGTTTGGTCTTGACTGATCTCCGAGGTCTACAGAGTCTTCTTGTAACACTCTTTTCATTGTGCATAATATTTTCTATAGAATAGTAGAAATAGATACCTCCTGTAAGTTTGGTCTTGTTTTTGACTCTTTTTGATACTATTTTGCTTATTTTTCGATTCCATTTTAGTCGAGATACTGAATGGCTTTTGTTAACCATCAAAGAGATTTTCTAAATTTTCAAATATTATTCACCTTTTCTATTTTAGATTTCAATAATTATTTAGAAACACAATCAAATCAAATTGTGTGCATTCAAGATATAGTTTTAGCAGAGTTAAGCAGACATACTGGAAGAATAGACTGGGTGTTGTATGAATCAGCTTTAGAGTTATTGGCCAACATCGTTGAATCTCCAAGAGACTTTTCTATAGTTTGGTCAATACCAGATATTTTGGACAGCCTTGGTTCGCTAAAAACTCGTTGTGTGAGAATATCCTTTGCTCCTTTGAGGTAATAATTTGAAATGTTGTATTTCGATATGTTATTTTGAAGTTCAGTTGCATTTTTGTCTTGCTTTTCTGTGTTAAATGAACTCTTCCTTCTTGAAACAATCTGGAGCATTGCTTGATGAGTCTCATATTCATTTGGTGGCATGAGAAAGCTCTTCCATTTTTGATTGCTTACTCTGGGTACTCTATAAACCAAAAATATTAAATGAAATGTTTGAATTTCGTAAAGCCTAATACTGGTTTCGAGTGTAGACTTACTTCTTTGAAGAAATGATATTTTTGTTACATTTTTGGAGAATATTGGAAGAGCTGTCATATTCGACAAAATCCTTGCTATCACTAGTATTTCTACTATGCATAAAGCTGGGAGCTTTACATATTTTCCGAAGACCTGATCTGAAAGTGGACTGTTGTTTTATAAGAACTTAGATTTCCTAGGAATGGTATGCTTTCTCCTCCTTGTTAATTTTGATAACAAGTCTTTGTTGCTGAAATGGATATCACTATTTTTCTTGAGATGAAGGAGATGAGCTAGAGGTGTATGATGAAGATGATGAATTTTCAGATATTTTAAACCCATATTTGTTATCTTTTTCCTCTTCTACAAAGTTGTTATACTCTTTCATATTTGTGATATTATCAAACTCATTCTGCTCGAATAATGGCTCTAAGACTCCAAGTTGTTTAGTGTCATCAAGGTCTTCATAGGTAGCACTTTTAGAGTCCTCATTTAGTGAATTCTCTCTTCTTGTTCTCTTTCTAAAGCTAGTAAGTCTTTTATGATTTCGTATTCTTCTTTTGATTTCCTGTATTTTCATATTGAGAGAGTTCTTTAATATTTCAGATATTTTATGCCTCATTTCATCGCTTATCTCCTTTCCTTTAGTAATGCCAATTTGAGAGTACGTATGTTTGACAACCTATAGAGCTTTCATCTGAGTGCCTTACTTTTTGAAATAGCCTGGCGAACCTTCTATTCTTCATTACAATTTTATTTGAAAACCTGCTGGGATCTTTTAATGTTGTTTTTCATTTCATGAATTTCTCTATTTTCTGAACTTTCCAATTATCTTTTTGAATTGTTTATGTTCAGCTTGAAGGATAAATTCAGCTATAGGCTTCCAACATGGAAGGTTTTGTTCAGCATCTAAGCCTTCAAGAGGGCTTGCAATGTGATTAGGAGCATTTTCACCGAACGTCATGAAATAAGTCTTAAGTTTTTTTTTGTTATATGGTGTATAGTAGTAATTAAGCTTGTGTTTTATTAAATCTGAAGGTATCAGGTTAAAACTACGCATATCTCCCATCATTCCCAGTCTCTTTCTGAGTTGGGATGGAGACTCTTCAGGAGATTTTGGCTTCGATTTTGTCTGTAGAGCAACAATTTCTTTGAATAAATTATTTTTTGGAAACTAATCTATTTCTTTGTCTCTTTTTTGGAATGCATAATGAAACAATTTTTGGGCAATCTTTCTGCTTCTTAGTCTTTCCTTGGGCATCCTGGGATATAGCATTTGTAGCAGAGACCAAGCTGGAACTGGAGTTTCTATGAAGATTTATTCTTGTTGTTGGAGATCGAAACATGTTAGAAAATGAATTTATATTATTCCAATATATCATCCTTTTCTTGGGGTTTTGGGGTTTTGGGGTTTTGGGG